TCCAAATACTGTGCCTCCACCGCCCCCCGCCCCTTTGTGCCTCTGTCGTCTGCTCACGCGCTGACGGCTTCGCTTTTTAAACTAGCCCCTTTGTATGTCCTTCCGAATACTGCTGGCCTCCACCGCCACCCTGCGCCATGTGCCACTTTACGGGTCTCCTCACACTGCTGCCAGGTCCAACTGATTCAGGGCCCCCTGTACCGGCTCCTCATGAACGTGGTTCAGCGGTTTGCAATCATCTTAACGGCAAATCGTTGACAACGCTGCGTCAAGTGTTGTGCGCATTAAGCCAGACACCAAAGGCAGCACAGACCTGTGATTACTCGCTCAAGCATTGGCTGAACAAAACCATCCTCTACACAAATTGGACCCCAGACCTGCCCAGGTCTCGTAACTAGATTGCACGGAGGATTAGAGTCCGTTATCGGAATTAAATAGACAAAACGCCACACCAAAAAGAGTGCCATTTCCAACACTTATTCCAGAAAGAGGAACAACCCGTTTCATATACCGGCCCGTAGACGTTTTCACGTCTGCCACATTCAGTCGATTTAAGACGCAAGCTCCACTTCCTGTGGTCTCCTGACCGTCGATATACCTTTAAGTGTCAGCTTTGAAGCTATATTCCCTCCCGGAGCACTGACAACTGGTGCCCTTGTACCGTCAACATGCCTTTAAGTTTCAGTTTTCAACCATATTCCCCACAGAAGCCAAACTCCTTGGGTATCCCAGAAGCTGCTCAGCGGGTCAGGGCAATAAAGCTCCCGGTTCGCAGGTTGTTCCGTCTTATGGATGGAAGTACGATGGTATATGATCTTCTTCGCACCCACGGCATTACCTCATAAAATTTCTCTGCATTGCATCTGCAATCACAACGCTGACCTTCCCGATCGCCACTCAGCCATTGGACTCTTGATAGTCGTCTCCCCACACTGCTGCTGGGGGACTTTTTAACCTAGGCCTGTGTATGGCCTTCAATTGAAGCTGCTTCCGCTCCGCCACTCTGCCATTGGACTCTTGATAGTCGTCTCCCCACGCTGCTGCTGGGGGGACTTTTAACATAGGCCTCTGTATGGCCTTTAATTGAAGCTGCTTTACGCTCCGCCACTCTGCCATGGGCCTCTTGGGGATATCCCAGAAGCTGCTCAGCGGGTCAGGGCAAATAAAGCTCCCGTTCGCAGGTTGTTCCGTCTTATGGATGGAAGTACGACGGTATAATGATCTTCTTCGCACCCACCCCAGGCATCACCTCATAAAATTTCTGCATTGCATCTGCAATCACAACGCTGACTTCCCGGATCGCCACTCAGGCCATTGGACTCTTGATAGTCGTCTCCCCACACTGCTGCTGGGGGACTTTTTAACCTAGGCCTGTGTATGACCTTCAATTGAAGCTGCTTCCGCTCCGCCACTCTGCCATTGGACTCTTGATAGTCGTCCTCCCCACGCTGCTGCTGGGGGGACTTTTTAACATAGGCCTCTGTATGGCCTTTAATTGAAGCTGCTTACGCTCCGCCACTCTGCCATGGGCCTCTTGGGTATCCCAGAAGCTGCTCAGCGGGTCAGGGCAATAAAGCTCCCGGTTCGCAGGTTGTTCCGTCTTATGGATGGAAGTACGACGGTATATGATCTTCTTCGCACACCACGGCATCACCTCATAGAATCTCTGCATTGCATCTGCAATCACAACGCTGACTTCCCGGATCGCCACTCAGCCATTGGACTCTTGATAGTCATCTCCCCACACTGCGAATGCTGGGGGGGACTTTTTAACCTAGGCCTGTGTATGGCCTTCAATTGAAGCTGCTTCCGCTCCGCCACTTCTGCCATTGGACTCTTGATAGTCGTCTCCCCACGCTGCTGCTGGGGGGACTTTTCTTAACCTAGCCTGTGTATGGCCTTCAATTGAAGCTGCTTCTGCTTCCGCCACTCTGCCATTGGACTCTTGATAGTCGTCCCTCCCCACACTGCTGCTGGGGGGACTTTTTTAACATAGGCCTTTGTATGGCCTTCAATTTAAGCTGCTTACGCTTCGCCACTCTGCCATGGGCCCCTGTACCGCCTCCTCTTTGCTGCTGCCAGGTCCAGAGTTTGTCATGGGTCCCTGTACGGCCTCCCATTGCTGGGTCCTCCCATTGCTGCTGACTTCATCGCCAGACTCTGCCATGTGCCACTTTCAGGTCTCCTTACACTGTTGGGTGGGTTCCATTTTGTGATAGGGTGCTGTATGGCCTTCCATTGCTGCTGCCGGATCCACCGCCACCCTGCGCCATGTGCCTCTGTCGTCTGCTCACGCTGCTGACGGCTTCCCGCTTTTTAACCGAGGCCTGTGTTTGGCTTCCGAATACTGCTGCATCCACCGCCACCCTGCGCCATGTGTCTGTCGTCTGCTCACGCTGCTGACGGCTTCCGCTTTTTAACCTAGGCCTGTGTATGGGCTTCAGAATAATGCTGCCTACACCGCCACCCTGCGCCATGTGCCTCTGTCGTCTGCTCACGCTGCTGCCAGGTACATACTGATTCATGGCCCCCTGTAACCGGCTCCTCATGAACGTGGTTCAGCGGGTTTGCATCACTTAACGGCAAATCGTTGACAAACGCTGGGACGTTCAGTGTTGTGCGCATTAAGCCAGACACCAAAGGGCAGCACAGACCTGTTATTACTCGCTCAAGCATGGCTGAACAAAACCAGTCTCTACCACAAATTGGACCCAGACCTGCCCAGGGTCTCGTAAGTAGATTGCACGGAGGAGTAGAGTTCATTATTGGAATTAACTGTGAGGGACTTTTAAACCTAGGCCTGTGTATGGCCTTCAATTGAAGCTGCTTCTGCTCCGCCACTCTGCCATTGGACTCTTGATAGTCGTCTCCCCACGCTGCTGCTGGGGGGACTTTTTTAACATAGGCTTCTGTATGGCCTTCAATTTTAGCTGCTTACGCTCCGCCACTCTGCCATGGGCCCCCTGTACCGCCTCCTCATGCTGCTGCCCAGGCCCGTAATCTGCCATGGGCCCCCGTACCGACTCCTCATGCTGCTGCCAGGCCCGTAATCTGTCATGGGCCCCTGTACTGCCTCCTCATGCTGCTGCCAGTTCCAGAGTGTGTCATGGGTCCCTGTACGGCCTCCCATTGCTGCTGTCCTCCATCGCCACACCTCTGCCATGTGCCACTTTCAGGTCTCCTCACACTGCTGGTGGGTTCCATTTTGTCATAGGGTGCTGTATGGCCTCCCATTGCTGCTGCCTCTCCACCGCCACACACTGTGGCTCCACACTCTGGTTTTGGCCCCATGACTGCCCAAATGAGTGAAGTGTGCGGTGATTCTAAGATCGACGGCACTCATCTGCATGTCATACTGACTGACAGTATTATTTCTCTTCCCCAGCAGACTCCAAGGGCATTTAAATTAAAGGTACAGTGTTCTGCACTAATATAAAAGGCTCTCTGAAGCCTAGAAACACCCTTTTTATAAGTTAAATTCGCAGCGAATATATTCGGCTCGAAGCGAATCTATTCGGCGAATTCGGCGAATCAGCCGAACCGAATTTTTTGAATAATTCGCTCATCTCTAATATTGTCCATCTGCGTTTCCACAATTTTTTATCTCAAATCCTCAGACAATTCTTTGCTGCTCTTTCTCTTCTCCATGCTCCATGTGGCACACAGAGACACGCAACAGAAAGGTCGAGTCCATTTTTCACCATTTTAACTGCTTGTCGATGTGATTTCTATATTGTCAGCACCTGTTAACTGATACAGGTGAGTTTAATTACAAATTACAGGAGCATCACATACTTGGAATGCAATTATTTCTTACAATTTTGAGAAGGTGCCAATAAATTTGTCCAGTCCATTTTTGGAGTTTTGCGACAAATTTCAGGGTGAAGCGGTGCATTATCTGACTGAAATGTAGGGGTGCCAATATTTTTGGCCATAACTGTATGTAGTATTTCATATTTACCTACATACATTTTACAAAAACATATTTTTAGTCTTAAACAAAATAAAGAAGAAAAAGATGACTAACCAACCACTGTTGGAGAGAGGGGGCACTTTTTAATTCATTATACTTTTGTTGAAGAAAACTGCGGACGTTGAACTGAAGACTGTGCCACCCTCACTTCAAAATTTGCAAGTAAGGAACAAAAAATGGTCAGATTTAAATCTCATGTCTCTGTTAGTCATTTATGTAAACTGACACATTTGATAAATCTCAATACAGATTAAAGCACATTTGAGAGACCACAGTCCATCTAATAAGAAATGCATCAGTGCTATAAATAGTTCTCTAAACTGAACTCTAGGTATGGAATCCTCTGTATAACTACAGTGGTCCAGCTTGGACCAATGTAAGTATGTTTATGCCATACCTGTGGGACTGCTGTGGAAGCTGAAAATCACTATACTGGTCATGGGCAGGGGCGGACTGATCATTTGGAAGCTCGGCAGTGCCCGAGGGCCCGGGGTCAGTAGGGGGCCCCATGAGATGCCTCTGGTACCATTTTCATAGGCTTTTTTGAGTTTGGGCAAGGACACAAGGGCCCCATGATCCCCTATTGCCCAGGGGCCCCATGAGTTGTCAGTCCGCCCCTGGTCATGGGTACTACAGTGATCTCTGCTATCTTCTGTGTCCAATGCCAAGCAACTGCCCTGTTGCATAACTATAGTAAATGACACTTGCTCTGCATGGGCACCTTTCACAGAAAACCTTTCATTTTTTCTCAATGACTGCAAAGAATTCCCCTGATTTGACGAGGTCGAGAACATGATGTCGCCCGCCCCAACTTCCCACCTTGTCCAATCAAAGAGCACATGTAAATGTATGTAGAATACTTAGGATTAAGGATGTGTCCTCTGGAGGATAATAAAGCACTCCAGGTCTCACTTTGGGTAATTTTGCATTCACCTCCATATCCAGCACCCATCGTCCTCTGGCAGCAGCTGCAATACACATTCTCTAATTTCTATTCCCCTGCTTTTTATGAACCAGCCCCCCTTCATCATGTGCTCTCCAGAATGTCCGCTCAGTATGTAACAAGCTCACATCTGTCCATGACCTTTTTAGCTCCTTAATCTAATTTATGTTACTGAAACCTGTCTTCAGGAATCTGACTCTGCCTGGCCAGCTTTCCTCTCCCATAGTGGCTTCTACTGGACTCACTTGCTGCCCAGACCCAGTGAACAAAAAGGAGGTGGTGTCAGATTTTTTTCTGGTCCCAGAGTGCACCTTTCAAGTCCTTCTTACACCTCCCACTCTCTCCATCTGCTTTATGAAGCTCACTGTATTCCTCTTTTTTTCTCCAGGTTTGTTGATAACTTCCTTGCCTGACTACTCTTATCTCTCCTCTTAATCCCTTAGGCTAAGTTCACACTAGCTTTGTTAGCAGGCGTTATACAGGCGTTTGGAAAATGTTTTTAATGCTCCTCAAAAGCCTATGAAAATTCTACACATGACAGCACACAGTGCTGTTCACACTGACTGAAGCGTTAGCGTCACTGCAAAATTGATGCCTCATGTTCCAGTCTCAAGAGGAGATGAAGCCTCCCATTCAAGTCTATGGCGACACTTCTCAAATGGCTGGCAGGCGTTTGTGGAATGTTAATACCATTGAACTTCATTATTGTTAGGTGTTTGCAGTGCGGTTTTTAATGCTTGGCAAATGCCTCAAAAACGCGCATAGGGCATTTGGGAGCATTTGAGGAGCGTTAAAAACGCTTCCCAAATGCCTGTCTAAAGTCTGTCAAACACTATAGGGGCGTTTGGCAAGAGTTAGAAATTAATCAAGTGTGAACGAGCCCTTACTATCATTCTTGGTGATTTTAACATCCCTTTTAATGCTAACACCCTGTGGCTACCTTTCAACCTCTCAAGCTAACCTTTGACCTAATACAATGGATACATACTCATAACACACTCTGCTTGTATTCTCTCGCCTTTTTAATCTCTTCTACACCCCTTTATTCTTTCTGATCACAACCTTATTGGTTTCATGCTTGTCCTATCTTCAACTTCCTATCCCTTCAACCAGCAAACATTCACCCATGAGAACCTCCTCCCTGTATAAAGCTGCCCTCCCAAATTATAATTCCACCCTCTATGCTGCCAAGAAGACCTATTTCTTCACTCTTATTAACACCCTCATATCCAGCCCTCTTTTTTCTACATTTTAAAGCTGTATTTAAACCCAAAAAAAAAATTGTAAATTATATTGCAGCTTACGAAACCTTAAATAAGCTGGCGGAGTTTGTTTTATTTTTTTCATGATTTTTCTTTCCTTTATTTCAACAGATGATCTGGCCAGTAAAATACACAACCTGCTTGGGTGTCTAGACTTTGGATGGAGGAGCACTGGGGACACCTTTGAACAGTAGCATTGTTAGCCCGGAGAGAGGGTAGTGGTAGATGCACTGGCTAGATTTAGATAAATTTGACTCATGAATTAGAGCTGACCTTCTGCTAACACTTTTTAAGCAGTTACAGCAACAGTTTTTACATAAATGTCCTAAAGCTAATCATTGTAAGCACCGTGGTCAGTTGGTAAATAGTTTGTCTCAATCCTCTAACTGCTGGACACTCTTGATCTGGCAAAGGTAGTTAAAAATTAAACTTACTGGCTGGATCACACGCAGTTGAAAATAAAGAAAAAAATACCTAAAAAAAAAAAACTAATGCAGCAACCATATTTAAGAATGGAGTAAGCTGCAATACAGGAACTTTTTGTTATTGAGTCTAATGCTCTCAACTTTGTCCCCCCACTGGCACCTGCCACTAGCTGTTTAAAACTGCCCACTGAACATTAGCAAGCAATTAAAAGAGAAGATACTTGCAATTTGTGACATGATTACCACTGCCCAATCTTCTCCATCAAATTAAACATACCGTCTCTACCACTACATACAACAATTTCCTTTTTGAACCCTGTTACTAAAGAGAAAGTTGCTAAACGTTTCTCTGACACTCACCACACCACCTGCCTCCTTGACCTTACTCCCACTCAAACTACTCCAGTCCCCCTCTTGGTCTAGCTCAATGCTCTTTTATGCAAATCTTCAACCTCTCTATTGGCATTTTCCTCTCTCCTTTAAAATACTCACCAGTCACCCCATACTACTCAACTACATTTACTCTTAGACTTTTCAACTGCCTTTGACATAGTTAATCACCCACTTCTTAAAAAAACTACACTCCCTTGACCTCTGCTTTTTCCTGGT